AAAATGATCGCAAAGTTAAGCCGGGAACAATTGGTTTCTTTTTGGAAGTAGATTCTATTTCCCTGTCAGGTTAGCTGGAGCCTACAAAGCTTGACGTGAGCTCCTGGTCTTTTCAGGTCTCAAATATATATCTACGTATCACATTCATTCTGCCTAGTCTATTTTGTAATGTTCCTCAAAACAGCTTCGATAAGCTATATCTATGACTAGCTATCTCCCTCACCAGGTAAAAATCACTTGGTCGTTGCCGGATGGGTCACCAGCTAAACCTCAAATTAATCTGGACAATTCTGAACATTATGAATTTCATGGGGATACAAGGATTGTAGCAGCAGATGTAAAGGAGACATATGTGTGTTTGTGAGGGATAGAAAGTTATTTTATTTGACAAAAAGAAAGGAAAGATATTGTGAACAAAACAAATCAGAATTTCAAAACGAGAGAGGGAGGGGGTGGATCAAGAGGTTGCAGGTTCATCGCCAAGAATCATTGAGCTGTGATAAAAATGGATCTGATTAGCCATCATAATCACTGACAGTGAAGTGCAGGGACTAATCCAGAATAAGACTTGCCTGATCCTTTATTCATTGCTTGTTTCATCAACCCAAAGCATTTCCAGCTTTGGCATTTTTTCACGGCACCACAGACAACCTAGCTGAGAAGGAAACCATCATCATCGATTTTTAGCGCGTTTATATCAATACATTTGAATCAAAAAATTCAAAAAGAAAATTTACAGGTTCTGGCATTGATAATTGTTTTGAAGATAATAGTGGATATAGGAATTTCAATAAAAGCCATAACTGCCATGGCATGCGGCCAGATAAATGAAAAACAGTGGTGTGTGTGCACTGGAAGAATACAAAAGTTTTGACTAATATACAATTTTTGTAGGAGGGACCATATGGGAAAAGGAGTCTTTTTGAAGGGAGTCGGAGAGCAAAAATGGTCAGAATAATGGCTTGGATAAAAGGAGTCAGATGGAAACTCACAAGAATTCAGAAAGTTTAATTGTCATCTTCATCATCCTCAGAGATCGGCTTGATGTGGAAGTTGGTGCCGTTGACAGCGAAGAGTGCGATTCCATTGGGGGTGAAGCGGTATTGGTGGGAGGCGCTGGAAGTGTAGTGGGGAGAGTCCCGAGCGTCTGCAAGGTTGATGAAGATGCAAGTTTTCGGGGTGCATGCGGCGGCACCAAAGACAATACCCGTAGTCGGTCTTGGTCCAGAGTTGGCTAGGGGAGATGAAATCAGGGGGGCATAGGCGTGAGCCATGGTTAGGGAACCGGCCAAGTGGTAGTGGGGCCGGTGAGAGGGAAGGAGAGGGATTGGACTGTTGTTCTGGGAGGAGAGGATGAGAGGAAAGTGAACTTCATTGGCAGTCTTTTATATCCAAGAATGCAGCACCATCGGCTCAGCATCAACGAAAGCAGCACCAACGGCTCAGAAGGATAGCCCCTGGGCCGCATTCCAGCTCCGCTGCACCTGAATCCTTTGTTGAAAAGTTTTCCTGACGCAAAGCTCAGCAAACACAAAGGCCCGGCGTTGCAGCCGTGTTTGTTCAACGCCTTAGCCCTCGACGCGACTCCAACAATCCGTGCATAGATTTTGGCCAACATGCAGATGGAAATCTGCATGGGAGACTCCGGTAGACAATGAGCGGCGTCAGTCTACCTGCACAAACTGATGGCAAAGGTGCTCAAAGCGGTAGCGAACTTGTTTATTTTTTGATTGATGTGTATTATTACTCATTTCTGTAAGACGCAGATCCAGGAAAAGCAACAGTAAATACTGAGAGAGTGAAAATGAGAGATCACAAAGAAGAGCGAGATAGAGATAGAGATCACAGGGAAAGATAGAGAGCACAAGAGATTGAGAAATTAAGGAAGAGATCAGGAAGAAATGGAAGAGATCAGAGAAGAAAAGAGAGATTGAAGAAAGAGAGATTGAAGAAAGAGAGATTGAAGAAAGAGAGAGATCACAGAAACAGAGAGATCACAGAAACAGAGAGAATCAAGCAAGTAAGACAGAAACTATATCCGAGACAAGGAAACCTATCGGGAACAATAGACGGCAGAACTGGCCACAAAAATTAAGAAACCTAGATAATGAAGGACAAGAAGACTACTAATTAATTGAATATTGTTAAAAATTGTACGATGTGAAACATTAGGGTTGATATGTTCCCAGGTTCCCCCGTAAATCTTTGCTATTAAGAAATGAGACAGACAAGCAGAGATAAGAAAAACTTCAAGAGTCGAGAAAGATGAGACCAGCAGACCGTTATAAAAGTTTATATAGTTTAGGGAGCGACGACAAAAAGGAAGTTCGATAGATTTTGAGGAGAGAAACAGGAAATAGAAAAGACTACCAGGCCAAGATGAAACGTAAGCGAAGTAAAGATTGTTAAGAAATTTGAAAAGATGTGTATATTGAATAATACTAATAGGAATGCAGTGAATCAAAAAAATCTCGCAGAGATTACAGGTAATCAAGATGCTATCTATTTATTATCAAACCAGTCAAGCATACAACAAACAGATGAAGATAAAGAGGATTCAGTTGTCTCCTGGACGCTCCTGATCTTGGTGGGGTTGGCCTGATTGACGCAATAAGAAAAGGAGAATCGTAGTCAGTTCAAGATTTGCCAAGGATGAACTCGATCACAAATAATCGCAGAACGCCCAACTCACCGATTGTTCACGGACGAGGAGCTGTTGCCGTTGTTTTTGGGTGGTGTATAGTTTGGACGAGGGGGAGTGATAATTGTCGAATTGGTACTGCCAGCTTTGCCCGTCGAATTGTTGCTTGCGGAGCTATCTGACATGGTAGCATTGACACCACTTCCAGCTTTATCTGTCATGTTAGCATTTATACTACCTGAGATGTTGGTAGTATTGGAGGACGGTGGATCGCCAGGACCGGTTGCAGTCGAGTTTCCGGTCGCGTTTAGCGCGTTTGCCGGTTGGCCAGGAGCCGGCGGAGCAGGGTTCGGGTTTGGTGATGGAGCTGAAGCTGGGGTGGGATCCGCCGGGAGGGTTTCCGGGCTGGCAGGAGCAGAGCCGTCCGTTGGGATTTTGGCGCCCCCATCCACACCAGGGAAGAACCAGGCAGCGCGACATCCACCGGGGCTT